GGGGCCAGAATGAAAGTTATCTCTAGTTCATTATTGTCGTTCTTTGGAGAAAGAATCCTTCCCATGGCAGGGGTTACAAATACCCCTATAAAATTAAGCCCAGTGTTCTGTACATTTTTTTGTAAAGCATAGTCTACTGAAAATTTTCAATTACTATGGTACAACAGAAAATCATATTGCATGAACATTCAACAAATTATTGCATCTCTTATAGTACTTCTGTGATAATGATAAAGCTATTTGTTTTCCAACAACCTTCAAGCCATGCTTTCTCTATAACACTCTTATCAGAAGCCCGGAACACAGTTTGGGTTGATGTAATTTGACATGGTTCTGGTGAGATTCTGAGAATCTAATATGACAAATAGGCATGAACAGCACAAATCTTCCAGCTAACAAGTTTTGAAAAGAGCTAACTAAAGAAAAGAGATATCTTGGAAAAGAAATGATACATTAAGAAAAGTGGTAAATGTCCTAGTTCAGAAACATCTCTATTAAGTAATGCAAAAAAAAGTCTGATAATTTCAATTTCAAAAAAGCTAATGAGAGAATATGAATCCTCTTACTTGTGTTTATATTTTAAGTATCTGTTAATGAATATTCATATAAGAATTAGTTCCAGGTTAAAACAACAAGTTGATGACATACTAGCTATGTATGTATATAATCCCAGAATCTTACTACTGGTTTGGAGAGATCCCTATTACTGACAATAATACCAAATTTTCAAACTGCTGTTTTCTTTAAAATAGTGACATCAACATGATATAAACTGTTTTGTATAATAAAAAATTATTTGCCCATAAATGGAATTGCTATTACATACTTTGAAAGTAATCACTAAGAAGATCTCTTTAGGGAAAGGGACTTAAATTACAATTTTACACATATACACAGTAACATTACCCTTATTTAAATTATTACTAAATTATCACTTGTAAACGTAAGTGGTAATGCATTTCTACCCCCCTTAATCTCCAACAAAAAAATATTATCATATTAAATGTACGCTAGACTCTAGACATTCACTGAAGCAAAAAATGTTCTTACTGCTTATGACAACATAGATAACCTTAAAAATAAGAACTGAGTATAAATGATGACAACATTTTCATCCAGAAAGAAGCCATTCATCTCAAGATGTGGTTAACTCTGTAGCTATACTGGTGACAGTTTAGATGTCTCTATTTTTAACTAACTACAGAAGGATTCAAGTATAGTGCATTATTTTCTATCTACTAGTACCTGTGCCCTTTCCAAATTAATTTCTATATACTCAGATACGATGAACAACCCTATTGTTCTCAAACTCTGTCTCTTAATATCTTTTGTATTGGTGTCATGCACTGCTAAAAAAATCTGTAAAGCTTTGAAAACAGGAGAGTCTGGATTAAGAAATGGAGTGAAATAAAATAGAACAAAGAACAGAGCTCTCCTACTATCCCCCTGTTGTTTAAGGCTCTACACATACTACATATGTGTGCATATATATATGCACAGCTACATATATAGATATACATATATATATACACAAATACACATAAATACATATGGTTAGTTTCAAGCAAGGCTGTAATGCTAGAATTAAAAGAAAGCTAAAGAAATATTCACAAAAGATTAATTTCACTGCAGTATAGTGTGCCTATTACGGGGTTTAGGCCACAATTTAGTTTAGTCAAAAGGATAAGAAAGTGTGGATGTCAGTATGCTTTCTGAAGAGCAATTCAGCTTCCTTGTTACTGGTCATTCCACACACTCTTGTGAGAGGTCATGACTATGTTATTTTAAAAACATGAAAGGGAGACTTTTTGGCTTAACAGAACCAATCAGCTTCTGAATAGCCCAGGAAATGAGCAAACCAAGTTTCTTTTATTGTAAAAGTTGCAATTAATTTTTTCATTTAGGATATATATGATTTTTTGTAGGATTAAAATTGTATTGATAGTACAGATAGATCAACATAGTAGCGTGACAAGAAAAAGTAAATGGAAAAATATATCTATCCTTCCTGTTAATCAGTACTTCACTTGATGGTGTGGCAGGTGCACCCACCCAATGCAATTGTGGCTCCCTGGCTGTTGAACCTCTCCTGTGCCCTTGTTCTCAGGGATTTAGGGTAGTTGGGGTCTTTGGCCTACAGGGGCTGGTACTGACCACAGGTCAGATTGGGCTCAGGTACCAATGGAGTCCCTGGGGGAGCCATTTGGAGCTCGTCCCAACTGGAACAGTGTGCTGCAGGTAAGGGCTCTCCCCTTGGGTTGGGACACCACCCATGGAGACTCCTCGGGGTTCCTATGAGTTGGGACACTGCCCTGAGATGTTCCTCGAGGTTGAGAGTCCTCACCTTTTATTAGCTGAGTGATTGAGCATTTTGGGTTGTCGTTAAACCCCTGGTTGGTGTTTTGGGTTGTTAAACCCCAGAAGCTTGTGTGGTGATAGTTTGTTCTCCTCTCATGGACATTTGGACCTGTTGTTTGTATGTTTGCGGAATGTTGATTAATTGTGTATAAAAATAAAGTTTGCTTTTTTTTTTATAGTTATGTGGTTTGGGAGTTTCCGCAACAGATGGGATGAGGGACAAGAATAAGCAACAGTGAGGAAAACGAATCAAAGGACTGTGATAAAAGACAGGACATCTAGGTGAATTTTATTATAGAGAACACTACCTGCAAAACTTATGCATAAACTGTAAAACATTTCCCACAGGATTATAGATTTAAGGGTTTATTCCCTTTTATGATACTTTTCCCACAACTGACTATTTGTACGTCTTTTTATTCTCAAACCATGTCTTTCCATTAAAGACACCAAGAAGAACCAATGGCACATGCTGTTCAATATTTAAAGACTGACAAATATTCAGAAAATCTAATCTGTGAGAGAGTGCATCACCATGCTTCCACTTCTCTTTTCTTACTTCATTTAGTAACTATTGGCAAAAAGCAAAAAAGGTGTAACTAACATCAAACTATAGTTCAAATAGTGGATATTTTTGGAGTGCTCATAGTGAAGAAATTTCAAGATGTAAAAATCATTATTGTTTTTATATTAATAAATAACTTTCTAGCACAAAGTTAAGGATAGAAGTTAGATTTTCTCGTCTTTTGTTGTTTGGGTTTGGGTTTTTTTTTTGGGGGGGGGAGGAGTGGCAGCAAATACTGGGTTTAAGACTGGATTTTTTTTTCTCTCCCACTTTTCTTTAACTGGTTCTGCCACAGTATTTTATAGTGGTAGTTATTCTTATAAAAGTAAAATGAAAGTGGTGAACAGAATGTATAATGTTGACAGGCAGACAAGCCTAACATAAATATTCTGCTGTAGAAGTGAAATTGTATTATTTCCAGTTGGTAAGCAATCATCTTATTCAATACATTCTAAATAGGACCGAAAAAAGTTATCTTCTCTCAAGAGCACCTGATGTACAGTAAACTTCCCAAACTTCCCTAACACCTACAGCAAAAATGTTTATTCAGAAATGACAGAGAAGTTATGTAACCTTTAGAAGAGGCATATTAAAAACATTATGACTCCATAACATGCATTATTCAAAAAAAAAAAAAAGAAATCAGAAAAATCCAACCCTCCAAAAGGCAAAAAAGCCCTGTCCACTGTGCAGCTGAAATAAATTTAATTTACATGACTAGTGAAATTGTTAAAATATCAGTTTTTCTTATCAAAAGTATGCACTGCAGGTCAAAACATTTCCAGAAATTATTTTTAGAATCTAGAATGTCATGTGTCGAACTTGGGAATGCTGCATATGTGTTGATAGAATAATATGACCAAAAAAATCTAAGACAATGATCAGATTATTCTATCTATCTTTTTTTCTTTTAATTTCATATATGCATATGCAGGTGGGGAGGTAATGCCACCTTTGAGGGTTAAGAGATTGAATATAATCTTCTGTACGGATACAATTCTATCACCACATTCCTTTGGTTTTAGTTTGTTTTCTTTTTTTTTTTTTTAAAATGATTCATACATTTCAATGCATGAACACAGAAACAAGAATTTCAAGGGAAAGTACTCAGTTATAAGGAATTTTGTGCTTACAAAAATTTATCAGCCTGCTTGACTTCCCTATTACACTAGGTCTGCCTTGACACGCTTTTAGTCCATCCTCTGGTAGCTTCATGTTTATGATGCTCTGTTTATGCAACTCCCAGCATGAGCCTAGACTTAATCACCTGTTTGACTCCATCTTCATGGTTGTTTTGCCTCAGGGTGCAAAGTGCTAAAGTTTAGGCTTGACCCTTCTGTGTGGGAACAGTAAGGAATATTTCATGTTCAGGTTGTCTGTTTCTAGATCTTTAGGAAAAAGTGATAGGCTAGTACCAGCAGATGTGAAGGCTTTTAAACACAAGCCAGTTTCTAAAGCTGCTGTCCAAACGTAGTTCACCTCATAAATAACATATTGATCTCAATAAGAATGTTTTTGGAGTCAGTAAAAAATCCCACATGCAGATAAAACATCCAAATCTGGCTCTTCAGGGAAATGTTCCACCACAAAGTACCAGTCTTAAACATGAAAATTACTTTAGAGTTCACTTCACAGGATAATACCACAAAAAAAACTGTGACATTAGCAGATCTGAAAGGAAAATGCAAATCACACTCAGGTACACAAACACCCACCAACAGATAGATAAATTTGGAATGTATTTGATTGTCTAGAGCTCAGGAGTAAAGCAAAACTCAGACTAAGGGACTCGAGGGTAGCTGTTGGGGTGAAGAAACAGATTGCAACCAAAACTTGTGATCAGTGGTGTTAGCAGGACTGCCTACTAAACATTTTAAATGTTTCTCATAAGATCTTATTACAATCAATTACAATTTTGCTAAGGCTAGAACCATTAACACAACCATTTCCTATTCTAGACATGTCCTTTTATTTAGTGTTGCAAAACATATATCATTAGTATATAAATAGTATGTACTAATAGTAATATTATTATTTAAACACAATTCAAATGGAATGTATTCAAGTACTGAAAAAAATGAAATGACCAGAAGGAAAAAAAACCCGAACCCACAATGTTTTTTGACTGTACCTATAAATTTCATCCATTTTAGAATCACATTGAAAAAAGGCAGGTTATTCACACATGTTGAGTAGAGTCTTACCAGTTAGGAAATCTCATTAAAGATGAATTGTGGATTAAGAAAGCCTCATTGCCTGCTGAACAGCAGGACTTTCCTTGCAGATCCCAAGTCCAGCAGTGGGCATATCAGGCACCTCTTTCAATCTGTATTTTCCCTGCTGGCTTGAGGTTCAATAAGGAAGAAGACTCTGAAACAAAATGCAAAAGCAAGTTTTGTTAGAAGATTAGGCATTGAAAACCCATGCCTAGACATGGAGAACAAAGGGAGAGACTGGTTGAAAAAGCAGCAGTAGGAGCACAGTGGAGGAACCCTCAGAATGAGGTGGGGGCTGAGTCTATCATGAAACTAAAGACAGCTTCTTATTGCATGTGTATAAAGGAGACAAATTTATATTGCTCTAACAATCTTAATTCTATCACTTCCTAACTCTGAGACTTTGCCTCTGCTTGACTTTTTTTGGTCTTATTGTTAAGAGTCTGGGATAAACTAAATTGATATCTTTGCACATGATTGCAATCTCCTTTGACTGCAGAGACAGAAACCGTTTGTTTAGGGCTGAAGACACTGAGTTATCTGCTGCTAACTGAACTTTCAGGAGGCTGTGGAAATTGTCACCGATGCCAGGCAAGCACAGAGTAACAGCAAGCTGCTGAACTTTCTGACAAGAACTACAATGAAATGACTGCACATCAATGAGTTTATAACAGTGAAATGAGCCACAACAGGCAACTTTTTTTCAGGAAGGAAAACTACCTTTTATTTATGAATATCTAAAGTGACACTATTTGAAAACACATCCTGTGTTTTTAGTATGGAAATTGTATTGATAACAAATTTCTTTTTTCTGACATCTTGATTTCCTTTAAAAACTGGTAGTTCTTTGGCAGTTCTTTTTTTTTTTTTATGCCATAGTATTTCAGATAAACAAATAATTCATTTCAAGGCATTTTTCTGAAATTTGACAGCTCTTCCAGTTTTCATTTCTTTGACATTTTTTAAAATAGTAACCCAGTAATGAGGGACTACAAAACAAGGCAGATCTGACAAAGTACACATGGTGTTTGAACCTTCTGTAAAAGCCATTTTGAAATACTATATTGCTGCTGCTGTTGATTTTGAAGCATTATATAAATTTATCTGCAAAGGCAAATCTACTCCATCTGACTTAAGCAACCATATCTACTAGACTACGTACATGAATTTTTTGCTTTTTCTTGTCCTTTACTTCCTCACATGCTCCACACTTTAGAAAGAGATATGAATATAGTATATATTGAAACAGAAATTACATTTTTTTCTTAATTTGAAAATGAAATATATAAGGTATAAGTTTTTAAATTACTTTTTTTCTTTTTCTTTTAAAAAGGCATTTTAGCTGTAAGAAAGGTCATGTGATGACCTTGAGCATTTTTTTAAAAAATATATCTGATTCTGCACCTAATTCCCCATTTCCTATGAAGGAACATGTGAGAGGCTTTCAGTTAACATTATCCTTGTCTTGGTGTCTTGTCCATGGCAATCACAAGCCATTTTTCAGGCATTGCACCTTATGAATTGGACGTCAATTGCTTTGATGAGGTATGTGTTGCCAAACTGTGACCAGTATTTTATCTAACCTTGTAGCTTGAGCCCAGAGGGCAACTAAGCACCATCCAGCCACTCACTCACCCCTTCCCCTCAGCAATGTAAGGGAGAAAATAAAGTAAAAGGCTCAGTAGTCGAAATAAGGACAGAGAGGGGTGGCTCACACATTATGGTCATGGGCAGAAGACAGACTTGTTTGGGGAAGGCAAAAGAACATCAATTTAATTCAGACACTCACAATAGCAACACTTAACAGACAGAGTAGGACAGTGAGAAGCATTACCACACCTTAAAGACACCTTCCCCTCATCCTTCTGTTCTTCCCAGGCTCTGTTTTGTTCCCAATCTCTCTACCACCCCCTTGTCGCTCCAGCAGTGCAGGGACAGAGAACGGGGGGGTGCAGTCAGTCCCACCGCTCCTTCCTCCTCAGGTTGGGGGGAAGTCCTCACATTCTTCCTCTCCTCTCTCATGGTTCCCCTCTCGCAGGAGGCAGTCCTCCACAAACTTTCTCCAACTTGAGTCCCTCCCATGGGCAGCAGGGTTTCCCTCCCTGCTCTGGCGTGGGACATCAACTTTCTCCAACTGGAGTCCATCCCACAGGCTACAGCCCTTCCCGAGCTGCTCCGGCGTGGGACACACTTGCATGCTGCAATCCTCCCAGTGCTGAACTACAACAGTGGGGTCTACCTTTTCCCACATGGTCCCAGCCTCCTTTGGGCATAATCACTTGAGTCAATGTGGGGTCCTCCATGGACTGCAGGTCAGCATCTGCTCCACAGCGGGCCTCCATGGGTGGCAGGGCGGGCGCCCCTGTTGTCTCACAACAGGATACAGAGGGGTCTCTGCTCCAGCACACCTCCCCCACTTTCCTCCTCCTTTCTTCCACTGACCTTGGTGTTTGCGCAGGTGTCCATCTCATAACTCCTCAACTCCGATTCCTTCTCCCAGGTTCCCCTTCTTAAAGACCTTATCACAGAGATGCAGCCACCATTACTAATTGGCTTGGCCTTGGTGAAGAGGTGAGTCTGACTTGAAGCCAGGGATCTTTGAGAAGCTTCTCACAGGGGCTGCCTTTGTAGCTCCCTCCCCCACTACCAAAAACTCTGCTACACAAATCCAGCACAAACTTCAAAGTACAGAAAGTGTCTTGATCACACTTGGTATATAGACCTCGGATTCAGTTAAGATGAGCTTCAGTCTTTCTTGAAATCTACAGAAAATGTATAAAGGCAGGCAAAGAATAAACCCATTTATAGATAAAGAATGTGAGGTAAAAATGGGGGAAAGGTTCCAGGAAAATGAAGGAAAACTGCTTTCCAAATGAGAAATCATTGGTAAAACAACTGTGGGAACTTATAACCAAGATCTTGCAAGGAAGCTGGAGCCACTGTAGTGCTGTTAAAGCATCATGAGATAGACACTTCATTTTATCCTAATATGACACACATTCCTGAGGTCCCTAAAGAAATAATTTGGTCCTTTAACGCTTTTTCTCTATAACAATTGAAAACAGGGTATTAAACATAAAAACATTAACAAGACTTCTTCTTTTTAACTAGGGATCATTTTAGCCTCCCAAATGTCTTGTTGCCTTCCATCCAATGAAGATAAATAAACCCAGCCATGCTCTGTGCTGTATTTGCTTGTCTCACTCTAAAAATGAAAGAAAATAAAAATGTGCCCATCAAACCAAAAACCTTTTACCATTTTGATTTTTTTCAAGAGTTAAAGCTCTATTACAAAAATATTTAGTTTAGGACTTCTTTCACAGACAATATTTAAAGAGATTCTCGGTATTTCCATACTCTGCTCTGAGATATCCTTATGGCTATTCCTTGTTTTCAAGCTTCTGGACTCATGACTGCCTGATCCTCAAAGTTATCTGACTGACTGGAAGGCAAATGCTGTATTTCCCTTGAATGCTGATTTACCCTTTCATGAGAGACACAGATATTCACAGTCCTTTAAGTTGCATTGGTTGTGCTAGTGTCAGACACATAAAAAGATACAACAGAACACCAATATTTTATTAAATATCATGGTACACATTGCACCCTTTTCAGGGAAACAAGATCTGTTCTATGCCAGGAAAGAGACAATTTTGGCATCTTTTTTAGAACATTAGTTGGTTTCTATGAAGGTTTTCATCTGTCTGTTCATTTACATACCCTGTAGTGAACTTAATTTTCTTTCATTGTGTTTACTTGAACAAATGGTGAAAGAATTGTAGAGATGTGGAAGAAACAAAAGAAAGGGACTCTTACACAAAGGGATCAAATGTATCTGCTCTCCAATAGATTTCAGCGCTATTTAGGCTATCTATTTGGGTAACTTTTGTTACTTTTTTTCTTTTTTTTTTTTTTTTTTTTTTTTTTTTTTTTTTCTCCAGAAACATCACTCTACTCTTTCCTTGTCACTGTTCGGACATCTAGGAAAAAAAAAAGAAAAAAAAAAAAAAAAAAAAAAGACAGGAATTCAAACCCACACTATTTCTACCTGGGAAACAAGTTGACTGCATCCTATGCTTGATCCTACGTGAGTGCACAGTATGTGTTCAATAGCCACTTTCTGGATGGCTTTTCCAATGCTTTCTTGCAGAATTTTTGTTAAAAGAAACAGGTGGGAGGCAACAAGAAAACCTTCTGTGGCAAGAATATGTTGGTTTCAGCACCCTGTCCTCTGCAAAAGACATTCTGCAAACTCCATTATGTCTCTCTGTACTTCACACTGGGACGTTAAATCTTTCAGAGAACTGATATTTATCTCCTCTGTAACCATTAAATGAAAGCACTTTATACAGTTTTGCATTTGTTGTAGCTGACGTGACAAACCAAGTGTAAACTGGTACACAACTCTTAGATTTTCAATACTTTTAAAGAAATGCATAATTTCATTCTAGAAGAAGAGAGATAGTGTGACAGCAACATCGAAGGTAGCAATCCCTTTGTTGAATAAGAAGTCCTATTTCATATGTTTACAAGAGCCAATAATGGAACACCAACACAAAGAAAAATGTCCAATGTTACCTTTAAGTCAGCAGGTGTGAGCTATCCATATTAAAAGGTTTCTTCCTTTATTCCTGCCAAGAACCTGAAGTAATTTAATTATTACATTAACCAGCATCAATAAATCATCCCACACTTCAGTAGATAGAAATTATTCCATTATGTTGCCTGTTGTGATTTCTTATAACAATGAATTCAAAATTTTAATTCCAAAACTTCACAATTTCTTCTTAGGCACAGACTGTTTTAATAAACAGAATAGGGAACAAAGACATTTGCTAATATATCTGTGATAAATGTCTATCAAAGAACAATGGGAGGCTAAATGGAACTGAGGTCAACTTCTTTAAAGCTGCTATTGAATATTCACAGCAAATGTCTTGCAGCATGTACCTCACTCTCAGAAGCATAACAATAAAGTTCTCCCATTGTCACTCCTGCAACAAATAATTTTTGGGATATGGAACTAGCTGAGGAACAGTAGTTTAACTTTTTAAATAATTACACTTTTTAGTAGTTTAAGATAAAGGGGCACTGTTGAAAGATGCTCCTTACCATTGTTTTAAGTAAATGAAAAACTGAAGTAAATCTCAGATCTGAATGGGCTTTCTTTTTGGCAGCTTCTGTTCAGCTGTGGAAGTAGTAGTTTACAGACTTCAGATAGCCACCAAATATACCAAATATAGCTAGAAAAGAAACATAGAAGGAGACCAACTATGCCTCTGTAGTGAATCATTTCATATGAGGAGAAACTAACATTGGGGTTCCTCTTTCTGGAAATAAATGAACTGAGAAGGAATATGATATAGATCTGTAAAATCACAGTTGGCTCAGGAATTACCTGTGATATCATAACTCATTATTACTCATAATATGAGAAGTTGGAAGCACACCATGACCCTCTTATCAGGTTTAAGGCACATATTTAATGCCAAAAGGATGTATATTTTCATATGGCTTGTACTTTGGAACTCAGTACCATGGAATTTTTAGAGGGAAAGCATTAAAAAGGATTCAAAGATAGAGGCTGGAAAAATTAAATTTAAAGTTATTTATGCTTTTAAACACAGTGATCCAGAAATGTTCTTTGATTCAGGGGTCTTCATATTGATGCATCATAGAAACTAGAAATACGTTACATTGGGGAAGGACTGAATATTAAACTTCCCTCCATACATCTGCTTCTCATCACTGTTGAAAATCTGCTGTTATAGGTAGACGTTTGGTTTCATTGATCAGGAAGGGTAAAACATATCCATATTTAGTGTCATGCAACAAGAAGTTGAAAACTCCATGCTATTTTCCTAGAATAGGAATGTGTTTTAAGATGGGTAGGAATTTTTTCTTAACAGGAACCTAGAGCATTTTCAGCTTCCCTTTTGACAGGAGGGAGTAAAACAAGTTTAACAAAAAATTTTGCTCTTTATTAGGCAGCCTGTATTCTTAATCCTTACCTTACCTAAAAATGAGACAGCAGCTGCACCAGAGAAATTTTGTTTCTTAAGCCCTCCAAGTCAATTTTTAGTTCCTCAAGAAGACATTCCTATAGCTAATTTCTGTTCCAAGAACACAAAAACCACTGCAAATTTATTCTTACACCTCTTTTCATGTTGTAAGCACTTGAGGAAGGGCAGTAATGATACATGAATTTGAAACTGCTTTTCATATCAGTTCTGTGTTTTTCTTTGCCTGATGATAGAATTTCATTATATTACAATATAGCTTTAGTGCTGGTACAACATGTTCCTGCTGTAATTTTCTTGTTTCAGTTTTGCTTATTCTTTTAAGAGTGTAAAAGAAGCAATTTTTAAGTCTAGACAGTGTAAGCCAACTACATGGTGAAGGAAAAGACTTTCAGCCATCAGGAAGAGTATATCTGACTGATTAGACTTATTGAGAGATGAGCTAGAGAGTGAAAATAGTGTTGTTGCCTGGTGCAAAACAGCTACATCAGAAAAATTATGGAGAACAAAAAACCTGACATTTTTCAAGCAACCTGCAACACTAATAAAATGTGCCTCATCACACTGCATTATTATGAACATCTTCTTGTAGTCATGGAACAAAACAAAATCTGTACAAAAATGTCTCAGCATGGGATGATTAAAACTTTTGACGGTCTGGAATTTTTTATCAACTAAGAGCGTTAGGACTATTGGGACTTCAGCAGAATCATAATTCCAAGTCAAACAAGGGGAGTCCAAAATAGCAGCATACAAGGTTGTGTAAGCACCTGTAACATGGGACTAAGAGGCCCTCCGGTGTTGTATGTGTGATCAGTAGACAGGCTGTGAGCACCATGACTGCACTGGCAAAATAGGGACTGATCACATCTTTCATCAGAATACTCCTTACCACTTCCCTGATATTTTTTAGGGTATATATTTATAGTTTTATATTTTAGATGAAATACTCAACGAAACTGAGTATTCAACTTATATACAAGTCATTTGTACTGCTATTTCATTATCAGGAGTTTGTTCAATGGCCTCAGAATTCCACAGTCATTTGCACATTTGCTGAAAAATTGATTAGCACCTAATTTTGGAGGCACAACCAGCTCTCAAAACCACATTGGTTTGTCAGATTCAGAGGGCTGATTTGACTCATTTTAATATCATACATATTGCTAATTACCTTACTAGAGTACACAACTGGGACAAAAACTGAATTAAGCGACTATTTCAAGTTGTATCTCCGTCCTTACACATAGTCAGAGCCTTTTTGCAAGATATCATCTAATCAATGATGGAATCAAAGATTCAGGGGAGCTCAATTCTGTAAAAGTGTCAAAAGAAATAAGTCTTAAAGCGTTGGGTAAAAAACTTAATTCCATGAAAGCCAATAAGAAAACAACCCTCCAGATTTTGTATTCCCTAATATTATTTAAAAGATTATGCTACTCAAAACAGAGAACTGAAATTTTACAAACCAAATATGTACATTTTCATGTTTCTAATATGTAATTATGTCTTTCTTCATAAGTGCACTCCCATTTGACCCTTTATATTAGTTAAAGCTAAACCCCAGTAGCAGAACAGCATGTATTTTCAAAAGCCTATACTCCAAAGTGAGTAGATGATGAGATTGTAAAACAAAATGCAATAATAGTTATCAGCTCATCCCTCACATTGAGTGTATTAAAATAAGACTGCTCATGAGCACTGTTTTTGTTTTTTTCCCAGCTGCCAAAATAAAAGTAAATCTCAGAGTCAACATAGTTAGCTATCACCACAAAACCTGAGCACTTCTGGTATGACTGTATGTATCTTACTTAGTACATGTCTCACGCTGACATATTTGTTTTCAGCAATAACCAGATTCCTTTTGAGTTCATAATTTTCTTTACTTGATAAGCACAAAGATAGCTCCACGTAAGGCTTAATTTGAAATACAGTCACGAATATCATATTTTTATTTTAATTTTGTCTTTGCTGCATGTAAAAATTCTGTTATGTCAAAGATACTGACAAAGTTACCATCAGATAACTTATCTTTACCTCTTTTTTCCCAGAGGACAGGCTGGGTGTGGATTCTGCATTTTCTGTACAAAGTCCAGCTTCTGCATATCCACTGCAAATCTCCAGTTATAATGTTTTGGCAAGAGAAAACCTGAAAACAAACCAGATGAATTAGTGGCAAGGCCACAGAGTGCATGCACTGGAGAGAAGCCAAGTTACCACAAGGGACCAGACTGTTTCCTCTAACCCATTTTTATAGTTTTCATCATTTAAAAAAGAAGCAAATTCCACAAGATAATCTGCTGCAGAAGTTATTTATATGTGAAGATTTACGCAGGAAAAACAACCGGCACCCTGTAATAAGAAGAGGTTAATTCAAAATCAGTATTGCTGTTAAAGAAAATGCAGCACCCTGCATCAACATCCTCTATGAGGCAAAAATTGATAAAGTGCATGAAAGTACATTATTAGAGGTAAATACAAAGTCTGAGATTTCAACAAGGACTAAACAAATGAAGTTTACAATGAGAGGCAGATGGACAGGAAGCTGAAAATAGTTATGAAGAACCTTGTTGGAAAAAACCCCACCAACACAAAATTGTTACAGTGTCATTACAAATTAATTGGAGAACTACAGACTTTTTTTTTCAACTGCCCAGGCTTCTCTTATCAATCATGTCAATTACTGTATTTATGAAGTGACTCTAACATGCATGATGATTAAGCTTGATCAGAGCTGCCCCAAGTCACTAAAATCACCCAAAAGAAAAGTTTTATTTAACAGACGTTGATTGTATTTCTTTCCTGTACACTCAGGAAGGAGAGCATCAGCTCAAACACCAGTTTAGGAGGAGAGAAGGAAAACTGTTGAAAGGAGGCAGTATTTAACTCATAAATAGTTAAACCTGTAGTTTGACTAACATCACTCTAACAAAAAATTCATCTGTCTGCCATCAACTTCCAGTTTTGGATTACTGTCATGTGACATTGGTAGAATTGACATGAAAACAAATGAAATTGATATTTTACCCCAAAGATAAATTTAATAGGGATGATTTTAGGTGTTACATAATATTTGCTCAGTGTTCAAACTGTGTCATTTGGATTTTAAAATTGCACATATACACTTAGTTCTGTCCTAATCTTCTGTCCATTTTTAATGATATTTAGTTCACTTTAGTAATGCTTTCCTGTGCAAGATGTATTACTTGGGAAGCACAGCATATGCGTGAAAAAAGAACTGTAACAATAAGATGTGCATCTACGTTAAATCATGAGTCCAAAAATATCAAATATTAAAGTAGTTTAATATACTAAGGGGAAAGGGACATTTCAATTGTGTATGAAAGGTTAGAATAAACTTCATGGCTCATGTGAACAATACATTAAAAGCAGATTATAAGATGTTATTACCAGGTTGTTCTTTTGTAGAAGAAAGATCAAGTGCTGTAAGTCCTCAACCACAGACACCCTGGTTCATCCTTGTTAACTTAAGGCACTT